GCAACTCTTATAACTTTAGGGTCTGGTCCTTTTACTTACAACTTATAGTAACCCGTCTCCGCTGGACACTGCTACACACAATTTCTCTTCAACTTCACCGGCCCTGGTACTGGAGACTAAAACATCTAGTCTCCACCGGCTCCGGTACAGGGACATCATCGTATACCTATTAATACCCGTTCCACAAGAGATACTCGCTGGGGGCAGCGACATGCCGTCGTAATAGAAAACGTCAAGTTTGTTTTCTGACTCTTCCTCCTGGATCTTCGAACTGATGCTGATTAAAAGTTATTGTAAAATTGCCCGAAACCATCTCTTTGCTATTGCAGTAGGCGACGCTGAGCTCGCTTCAAATGCGTTTAGTCATCAAATGGTTCCTTCAGAAACACAGCATCGACTCCAATGCATATTTTTTATTTTTTTTAAATTGGAAGTACTTAAACTCGTTATCAAAGTTGCAGTTCTGCTCAAGTTTAAACGGATGTCAGAACGGTATGTTTAATTGGTATTCGTAAGTAATGATCAGCATGTCAAAAACAAAATGGTTCTGCGGAGCCAGCAGCTCTTCATCTGATGTATTAATAACATCAGGGCTTCGGTGGAATAGGTAGTGGGGCTAACACTGAACGAAGCTGAGCGCGTGCTGACACTGGTATCGCCGCGACATAAAACCTCTGTGAAGATGCGACAGCGACGCCATATGCTAGCTGCAAGACGCCGGGCATCGACCCGGATCCAGGGTATGTCTACTGCAGAAGAGGGTGCACAGTTATACACCCTCGTCAACGGTATGACGAGGGAGGAAGATGGCGACTTCCGCCTCGAGGTTATGCCTGCAGTAGATGCTCCTCTGGAGCCAGACGAGATGTCGCTTGAAGAGTTCGGCAGTGCCTTGAAGGCAGGCGATTTGGTCGAAATGGTCATTGTACGACCGGACGAAGAGATAAACGCGTCATCGCTTCTGAATGAAGCTACACCAAGAGAGTGCTAAGTTCACGGAGTGGATCGTCGATCCTACGGAATCCCTTGGATCCGTACTATCCTTTGGTAAA